AAGAATTTTTTAGATAACATTAAAAATACTGTCATGGATGACAAGGGTTGTATGAAGGATAACACCAATGCTAGATTGGATCTACAACTATATTGCAATAGATTTGAATTAGAATTGATACCTCAAGATGATGGAACAACTATAAAACCCAATGCTACATATGTTCTTACTCGAGAGCAACAAAGCTCTTATCTATTAGTGGCTGAAGAAATTGAGATTCCCAGATGGGTATGCATCCAACATAGCACGATGTGTTAACATGCAGGAATTTCGATTGTTTGGGATGAAAAGCCATGATTGTCATGTATTCATGCAGCGTCTCTTGCCAATTGCTTTCTGTGATTTCCTCACAGATGAAGTTTGGGGTCCCTTAACTAAGATTAGTAACTTTTTTAGAGCTTTAACTGCTCTAATTATTCAAGTTAGTAACATGAAGATGTGGGAGGAAAAATTTGTTGAGACCATTTGCAAGCTAGAGAAAGTATTCCCGCCAGCATTCTTTGACTCGATGGAGCATTTGGCTATTCATCTACCATATGAGGTAAAAGTTGGAGGACTTGTCCAATTTCATTGGATGTATTCTTTTGAAAGGTATATTTCTTCTAATATATCTTTGCATCACAATAACATTCATAAGCATATTTAATCATTTAATGTTATTAATTAATTTTCTTATTTGTTTAACAGAAAAATGCATGACCTTAAGAAAACAGTGTTGAACAAAAATCGTGTTGAAGCTTTGATTTGCGAGTCAATATTCTTTCAGAAATTACCTTCTTTTGCTTGCATTATTTTGGATCTGACATAGAGACAAGATTAAATCGTCAACCAAGAAACATTGTCGGCGTGAATGATGATATGGATAATTGTTTGTCTGTCTTTAAATATCGAGGTCAACCACTAGGTCGAGAAATGCGTATGCACGCCCTGTCACCCAAAGAATTAAAGACAGCAGAACTTTATGTTTTGCTTAATTGTGAAGAAGTTAATCCATGGATTGCGTATGTTCTCTAGTTCTAACTTTCATTTGTTTAAGTTATTGGTATGTATAGATTGTTTACTCCAACTTCTTCATGTAGGCTTTTTGATTATCCAGTACATTCCGATCTATCAGACGATCAAATTCAAATCAAACGGCAACTTGAATTTATTCCTTGGTTTAAGACAACGGTAAGTAATTTATTTTAATAATTTTATTATTAAGATCTCAATTTTTATATATTTTAGGATTAAATATTAAATATTTTTATAACAAATGTAGGTGCATAGTGGAAGATATAAGGTTGATTCTCGCCTTTTGCCTTTAGTAACTGGCCCAGTCAATAACGTTAGGGCATACAATGGTTATTGGGTTAATGAATTCTAGTTCAATACTATCGCATATGGACAAAATAAAAAGACCATGAATAGTGGTGTTTGTGTGAAAAGAACCATTTTCAATGATGAGTCAGATTATTATGGGACTTTGAAGGAAATAATTAAGCTTCAGTATTTTGACTTATATGTTCATCAATCAGTGATTTTGTTCAAGTGTGAGTGATATGATATCAACAAAGGCATTGTGGTCCATCCGACATCTGGTATAGTTGACATAAATCCTCGGTTTAAATTACAAACATATGAACCATTCATATTGGCCAGTCAAGCTCAACAAGTGTTTTATGCCCGTTACCCATCTCAAAATCCTTGTAGAAAAGGGTGGTTTGCTGCATGTAAGATTAGAGGAAAAGCAATAATTGACACTTCATCGTTGAGTGATGGTGGAAATGTTTATTATCAAGATGATGATCCTCCTATGCCACAATTGGTGCAACCCTCGACTATTTTAAATGATCATGTTTCACTAGCATCTCAAGGGGGAGAACAAGTGGTGATTAGTGAGGTCATGCAATTGCCATATGTGGCAGAGGAAGAATGTGTGGGTGAGGATGATGATGAAGAGGAAGAGTTTGATGGAACGGAAACATCGAAAGAAGAAGTTCCAAATTACTTAACCGAGAGTAATAGTGACTAAATGTATCTTATTTGATTTTTTTTAATTAATTGAACAAGGATGAATGACTATTTATATTTTCTTTATTATGTGTTTCCATTAATGACTTTTATATTTACATTTATATCAATATACATTTATAATTCTTTATATTGATATTT